AAAGAGACCCCCNCCCCCCCCCCCCCGCCATCATCATCATATCTCAGCATCATCATCCCCAAATCAGGCGTCCCGCCATCTCTAGCTAGTTAACTACCATACAGTAGCGCGTAGGGGTAGCAGTGATAGTCATCGTAGCAGGAGAAGAAGTAGAAGAAGTAGTAGCAGAAGTAGAAACAGTAGAAACGATATCCAAAGGACACAATGTACATACATATCAGAGATTGAGAGATTTTTTTTTCTTTTTTTTTCGGCTCAAAGTTGGATTTTACTGTGGATAGGTAACCTACCTACCTTGGTAAAAATATCATGGTCTGATTGAGTTGTACAAAAAGAAAGAAATAAAGACAGGGAGGGAGGAGGAAGAGAGTATAGAGAGTATAGAGAGTATAGAGAGTATAGAGAGAAGAAAGATTGTCTAGCTATCTCTCTTAGATAGTCTAGTCCTATTGTCCTACTTTCCCCTCTCCCCGTTCCTTCTCTTAGTCGAACTTCTTCGTAGTTTATATATGTCTTCTTCTTCTTCTTTCTTATTATCTTAATCTTTATCTTTCTTCATCAGAAAAGATTCATTCAGACAAGTACATAGTATATGATACATATATAGCTTTAGAGAAGGAGTAAGAAGGGAGCTCTAAGGAGGAGTAGTAGTAGTAGTAAAGGGTATATCCGCTCCCATCCCATCTAACCCTATCATATAGCGTCCTATTCCAATCCCATCGCAGGTATCCCATCCCATCCCAGCTGGCAAAAATGCACCTTCATAAACCATCAACCATAAATCCATAAATCCATAAATCCATCTCAGGGTCAAAGCCCCAATCATCACTCCAATCATAACGCCATTCCATTTATCATCCATGACCCCCTTCAGATCCCAATCCCAATCCCCCTCCAAAACCCGAATCAATCATAAACCGGCACACACCCGGCAATCCCCATACTAACAAGCACATACACAGCAGCACACACCACCCACTCACCCAGCGGCATGACATCCCCAAACCTCGTCTTCGCAGCAACGAATCCTGTTCCCGTGATAATGAGCAGAGTCACGAAGAAGCGACCTGCAAAGGTGGGGATCATGCTGAAGAGGAGAATGGGGAGGAAGGAGAGGGATAGGATTGCTGCGAGGTTTTGGGGAGGTGGGGGAGTAGGATGAGGTGGTGGTGGATGTTTCCGGATGGGTTGGAGGACGGGGGTGGAAAGTGGTTGCTGTTGTTGTTGGATAGGTTGAGGAAGTGGAGGGGCAGAGTCGAGTATGGGCGAGATTAAATCCTTCTCGTTTTCAGTCGCTAGAAACCGGGTTTCGAGTTCATGGATGGGGGATTTTTGCGTGAGCCAGTCTCGATAGTGTTCGATGTGGTTTTGCTCCGCAGTGGCAGAGTGTTTGGTCATGCTGGCGAAACTGGCGATGGCAGCATTATAATCTTTGGTTTTGAGAAAGATGCGGCCAAGCAGTTCTGTTCGCTGGTGATGCCAGGGAGTGCCAAAGTTCTTATCGCCTCTTCGTGAAGATGGTGTGGGTGGTTGGCCCTCTTCCGGAGGCGGTTCCATAGTCGCAATGATCTCGTCGACCCTGCGAAGTTGTTCTTCCATCTCTTGAAGCTCGTCTTGCATGTGTAGCAGGATTCTGTGGTGAAGGTATTCAAATCTTCGGTAGAGTGGCTGCACGGGAGAGTCTGGGCTGGATAGTTCTCGTGCTAGTAGCTCATATCCTACCACTGTTCGCTGCATGTTATTCGGCGCATCGGGTACTTGGGGTGGGGCACTATGAGCAACCTGTCCTTGCGGAGAATAATAGGAAGCTGAATAGGCCGTCGAAGTATGATTTGGTGATGGATACGAATACTGCTGTACCTGCATGTCATGCATGTACTGCGCCCAGGCACGCTGGGTATCCATTGATCGATTTGACGAGGACGAGTGTGATCTGTGCTGACCAAACGCAGAGTCCACTCGGCGATGAGCATGCGACTGCTGCTCTTGCGCGACATGTTGCAGCAGAGCATCCTTCTGGGCCTGCAGTCTCTCGTCATGACCCTGCTGCTGCTGCTGTTGTTGCGGTGGAACTGGTGCAGAATGAGAATGTGACGTCGATGACTGCCGCGTATCATGCACGAGTCGATCGAATCTCAATCTCGATGCTTCTTCTTCTTCTTCTTCTTCTTTCTCTTCTTCTTCTCCTTCTTCCCCTTCTTCTTCTTCTTCAGAGTCGTGCTCATCGTCTTCTGCAACATCACGAAGCTGAGGTAATTTCTTAACGCTGCTCCTTGGGGGCGATCGATCTAGCTCGGGACTCCGGCTTCCACTTCTTTGACTGTCTACAGACGATGCGTATTGGGCATCATACTTGCGACGTAGCTCTGCTACACTGCCGGTTGCACTGCCCTTTCTCGTGATTCGAGACGAAGCAAAAGTTGACGCACTTGATGGCGTGTCCGGCAACTCGCTCGAGCCAGAATCAGATGGCTGATAGTGGGACGACGACGACGACGACGACGAACGAATAGAGCGCTTGTCCTGAGCATCATCCACTGTCGTTTCCATGTAGTCGAACACGCTAGGCGCTCCGATCGTTGTGACGTTCATCTGCTCCTTGTCCGAAGCTCCGCTGCCTTTCCTCCTGAGTACTCCTTCACCTCTATTATTTTTAGACATTTGATCGAAGGATTGCTGAGTAATGGTGGTATTGCTGCTCGACGAACCATCCGAAGCGCGCGTCAGACTAGACAGTACTGACAACAGAGAAGGATTGAGCAGTGGAAGGGTGTTGCTTCGTCGATGTGTGGATCCTACTTTGACAGCTGATCTCTTGGTAGCACTGCCTCCTTCCTTCAATCTCCTCGCGCGTGGTGCATCACGGTCCCGTCCTTGACCAGGTTGATGCACGACTCTCCTCCCAGGCTTGCCGATGACACTCGATTCGCCAGTTTCCAGAACCCTTGTCAACCTGGGGAAGAAGCTAGTACTGCTGCTCTCCGTGCGACTCCGACTCCTGTTGCTCTGTATTGGCGACCTCCTGTCCTGCTGCTTCCTTCTCCGCGATGGAGTTGTTGCGTCGATATCGAGGCCGTCGAGAGAAGCAGTGTTGGCACTTTCAGTCTTGCTACGTCGTCTGGAAAGTGAGGCCCTATGAGTAGTATCGCTGGTCGGCGTATGGAGTGGTGTCAGCATTGAAAAAGCCGAAGGTCGTTCTGGACTAGGTAGCGGGTCTGGCTAGACAGATATAAACGCCATTAGTGCTGCGCAAACATGCCGAGTACCAGGCTGGCCAGGCAAGGAGAGACCGAGAGAGTGTATTGATAATAATACATCAATATAAGATAGGGAGCGACCACCCTAGAAGACCTAGTTTCCCTTACTTACCATTTTGGTCCAGCGCGGCCGTCAAGGATCTCGTGTTGTATAATTGTATTTTCCCAGCTGAGTCAGTGGGAGCGCGGAGCGTGGAAGACGAGTAAGATGCTGCATCACAATTGTCGTGATTGCAGGCTACCTGTAGTCAAGAACGAAAAGGTGAAACACACACACACACACACAGCGCAAGACGTGGTGGACACCTGCGAGTGTGCGCGCTGCACCAAACAAGCGAGCGAAAAAGGGAGAAGCGTCTCACAGCAGCACGGGAAGACGACTGACTGGGTGTGTAACTCCAAGACGACTGGGCTGCGACAGATAGGCTTGGGGGTTCAGGGGCTATAAAATAGAAAGCAGGCGTGACAAGGAATTGCCAGTTGCGCTTGGGAACGTTGCGATGCGGATGCGCTGGCTCCGGTGGGCTCCAGTGGATGGGATGGGCGGATTCTGCAGACGGTACATGTGTGCGGGCGGATATCTCTGGCCTTCCATTGCTCATGCGGATGCGTGTTGTTGTCGTGGGCTGCCATGGCCGAAGAGTCTCCACGAGTGAATAGCCAGTGTGTGGTGGAGGTGAGAGGGAGAGATAACAGGATGTAGTCACAGGATGTATACAGAGGTAGGACGATGCAAGTCTACATTCCAGTGCTCGAGGAGGGAGTGTCTTGATTGGATCATTTGAATGTGCGTCGGGCTCCGGTGGGCTCACGTGTGGGATACTGGGAGGGGAGGGGGAGGGATGTGGTGGTTGTCGATCATTTTAGAACTCAGGTACTTTGCTACCTTACCTTACCTGGTACTAACCTTTGCTGTGCGCATATCGGAGTTGACGGAGGTCATATAGCGAACCCACGGGCTGGCCCGCAAAGCCTCAAATGTTTGTCGACATTGGTATCTGTATCCATCCATGTAGTATTCGTTGATAATCCAACACCTCCCAAATGGCACGAAAAGCAATTCAAAATGACCAAATCGTCAAACTCATCGTCGGCGCAGGCCAGGCATCTCCTTCGCCGCCCGTAGGTCCCGCGCTCGGTTCCAAAGGTGTCAAGAGTATGGATTTCTGCAAGGTCAGCAACCCTCCCTCCCTCCTCCCTCTCCCTCCCTCCCTCTCAAAAAAAAAAAGACCATTCACTAAACAGCTACCTAACACATCACCACAGGAATTCAACGCGCGAACAGCAAACTACATCCCCGGCACCCCGATACCCGCACGAGTAACCGTCCGCCCCGACCGCTCCTTCCACTTTGAAATCCGCACACCACCCACAGCCTCCCTCCTCCTCTCAGCCGCGGGCGTCTCACCCATCAAAAACAAACTTCGCGGCGCAGGAAATACCGCTGGGCCCAAAGTCAAAGCAGCCGCAGCCGCAGCCGGAGCAACAGGTAAAGCAGCTTTTCATGGAGCTTCTGCTCCGCCGGGAAATGCGGCGTTGGGGAGTGTGGGGAAAATCAGTTTGAAGCATGTTTATGAGATTGCGAAGATTAAGCAGAGTGAGACGAGGTTGTCGGGCGTGAGTTTGGAGGCGATGGTGAAGAGTGTTATTGCGCAGGCGGGGAGTATTGGTGTGATTGTGGAGCCTTGAAATGGTAGGAGGTATATGGGGGAGAGAGAGAGAGAGAGAGAGAGAGAGAGAGAGAGCAATAAACGTCTTTTTGGTGTCGCTCCAAAAAAAAAACAAAAAAGAGACGCTGTGGTGAAGTTGTAGAATAGGGACGTGCTGTGATTGGGACAAAGGCGTTGCAGGTCCATATATACCCACCCATGCAGAGAAATGGACGTGTAGAGTACGAGGCCGTGTTGTACCTACCTAGGAACAGATTCCAAAGAGTTCAAATGCGGCTTCAGGTGTTGACTGTCGTTTCTGGCATTACAAGTATTTACATCTACCCGTCTGGTGCGGCGAAGATCGCACGGCCTGAGGTCATGACCGCCTATTCCCCAACGTATCGATACGCCCTTCCCGAGTCTTTGCAAGCTGCTCGGTGCTGAGCTCAAACCTCCTCCCCTATTACCCATCAAAAAAGTCTATGCATCTGTCTATACCTATGCGCACATGTACTGCCACCAAAACTCCTTCGCTGCAGGTGCCCCCCCTCTCCAATCCCCAGGTCATCGAGCGAACGTGGCGGTATACAAATACACAAAAGCGAATGTAGGGTATCTTCTGGAACCAAAAAATAACTGAGCTCTGCGCGTAGAAAGAGCAGAGCTCAGAAGACTTGAGCCAAAAAAGGAAAAACACCACAAAGGGTGTTTTATTGGCAAAAAGTCGATGAATCGCTGAAATGCTGAAATGCTCGTCAAAATGCTTTCGTCACAAAGCGCCAGGCAATGCAGTCGTCAAATCATGGCAAATGAGAATGTGCGCGTTTTCTGTTTGCTCTTCTCCACTCAGCATCGTGTCATGCGGGCAAGTGGCTACGCTTTTTGGTACTCATTGTCGGATGACGAAGCCAATGTATCGCCTTCCCACGAATCCACGTCAGTCACTGGCGATCGCATGCCGGTAGATGGTTCGCGGCTGCCACTGGAGAAGCTCGAGGAGGAGCCTATCGTCCACTCGTCACTGTCACCGTGGAGAGCAAGCTCGTATTCGTCGAGATCAGCGAGTCCGTACGCATAGAGCTCTTTTTCTTCACCGTGCTCGACATAGTCGTAGTCCCATCGGAACATCTTTCCAGGCTGTAGACGAGGCAAGAAACTTCCCTTGGCGATAAAGTAGGCAATGGAGGCAATGATGCTACCGCCGACCAAATCAATCGCGTAGTGGTGGCTCAAATACATGGTCGCGTACCACATCCACAGAGTGTAAAGCACAAACAATGGCCGGAGCTTTGGAAACGTGTGGGACATGAACAATGCCTCGATGGTCGCGTTTCCGGAGTGTAGTGACGGGAATGCACCGAACACCAGCGGAGAGGCGGTGAAGGTTGATGTGTAGAGATCGATGCCGAACAACTTGTCGATCGCAGCGAGGCCAGCTGGTGATCCAGGGATGGAATAGTTTGCGGGTGCCAATCCGTAGAGGTTCTCGTACCAAGGCGCACTGCATGGAAAGAGGATCTGGATGATGACGCCTGTTACGTTCATATAGCCGAATGCTCTCGCAAAGGTCGGAGTCGTGCCGGGGGGACCAAAGATGAACATCAACCCAGAGCATACAAATGGCGCACCGAAGTGCGTAATGCCGTATGGAAGCCATGCTATCACATCCAAGAAGGCGTTTTTATGTGCCGAAAGGATGTTGCTCAGATTTGCGCCGTACAGGATATTCTCCATTGCCGGAAGAACGCGCACCCAGATACCAGGTCGGTATTGAGGAGGGATGAACTGGCAGGCGTAGAAGAGCACCAGCCATCCGGCGATGGGTAGAAATGGCAGAAAGAACTGCCTTGTGATGGGTATGACCAAGCTCGTCAGCAGCGCGGTGGCGACGGCCGTCTTGAAGAACGGACTCTTTCCCTCGATCATGCATAAGCTGAAGATGGCCAGCACGGCCAGGAACAGATATTGCGCATCGTAGTAACTCCAATGATGCGTTCGGAGAGCACGAAGGGTGTCTGCAGGGTTGAAGGATGTCTCGAGGGAGGCTATCGAGGAGGTCGGGGTTGCGCGGGATCGTATTTTGGAGCGCGTGGAGCGGAACTTGCGTCGGATGCGATGCGGTATGTAGATGGGTATGGCAGGCAGAGTGAAGGATATGCGAGGCATACTCAGAAAGCCGGTGGGAGACATGTCGCGCGAGAAGCTGTCGAGGGAGGACGAGGCGCAGGCGCGGATGCTGCTTTATCGGATCGAAGTCACGGCGGACGGGCGGGCGGGCCACGCAGTCCAAGTTTCACGAAGAGCGCCGGCCAGTGTGATGCTGCTGCTGCTGCTGCTGCTGTTGTGATCGGTGTGTAGGTGACACGACAGTGGCGATGAGGTGCTGTGTACTGTGGTGTAGAGGGCTGCAGACGAAGAAGACGAGGCAGGCTGTTCTCCTACTTTCGTTCGGAGGGACGCCGCAGCAGAAACGGCGTTGGTCTGACAGCTGAAATTGCTCGTAGACGGTCGATCGGCGAAGGCGGTCCACTACTTGAGGGAGCCAGGGAGGGCCCGCGAGATGAAGCTGGTCTGTGGGCTCGGCGCTAACGGCGTGGTGAAGAACCGATGCCCTCTCCGCGTCGTGACACAAAGTGGGAGTGACCGGAGAGTGGCTAGTCGGTCTGTGCCGTTTGCGGCGTGGCAACAGTCTGCTTTGAAACACGCACACAGCACAGTCGGGTCCTAATTGAGGAGGTCGGTATGTATGCGTCGAGTCGGTGGGTAGTGGGAGCAACTGCAGGACACTGGGACGAGATGGAGATGGATGACAGTACATTAATCATTCACTGTGATGACGGCACTGGGAAATGTACGGGTATGCGATGCCCTGCGAGAGGCCGAGAGCGGCATGACATGAATGATGAGAGCTCAGAGCTATGTAGCGTGCCGAGCATGGCTTTTTTCTGAGCGCCTGCAATTTCTGATGTCTCCATTGGCCACTCGTTGCTCATCTGCAGCGCCAACAGCTATCATGGCGCTTGTGACTACCACGCAGCCACGTCCGAAATCCGAATAAAATCTTGTCTCTACGGCGCGGATGATCTCACCACACCAACGCAGGCATTCCTTCATCTGCCCCGGTCCTGGTAGAGATGGTGTGGTCTTCTTTTTTTTTTTTTTT